ACAGCCTGCAGCTAGAACTCTTCCAGCTGATTCTTGTATAGAAGCCCCAGCCTGTTAAAACCGCTGAGGACGTCAGCAGTCATCTTCCCTCTCCTTTTTGCAGAGAGATGCTCAGACTCAGGTGCGGATATTTGTCCCAGGCCAAGCTGTTCGCTCGTAGCATATCAGGAACCAGAATCTAGGTCACTAGGCTGCCGGTTTAGGGAACTTCCTGCTGCACTACATTTTCCACTCGCTTATCTTCTTTTTTATCACCCCTTTAAAACATAAAATTAGCTCAGCTGGTTTTTCTTTGGGCCACAGAACTCAGTTGTTGGAAGAGTGACGTTTTCTGTTTATATGGGCCACCGCTTCTGCTTGTCTTTGTGATGGGATGGTGAGCGAGGGCTAGGATGGAATCAGGCTGTTGTCAACGGCCTCAGTGGATCCCAGGCTCTGCAGTCACGTGCCAGTTGCTCCTACCTGTTGTTTCTACAGTCCTTTGGAAGTAGTTTTTTTTTTTTTGCAGTTTTTGGCCAGGGCCGGGCTTGAACCCTTCACACCTGGTATATGGGGCTGGCACCCTACTCCTTGAGCCACAGGAGTCACCCTGGAAGTATTTTTTTTAAGAGACAGGGTCTCACTTGTTGCTCAGGCTGGTTTTGAACTCCTGGGCTCAAGTGATCCTCCTGCCTCAGTCTCCAAGTAGCTGGGACTACAGGTACCACCACTACATCCAGCTAGAAAATCTTTTCAATGTGCAACTATTTCTAAATGCTACCCTTGACTGAAGAAGTCACATGCCTAGACAATGTACCTCTTCTCAGGTGGCAGGCAAGGGATTATGTTCCCCCTCTAGGCAGAATTCCTAAAAAATACGTGTAAATCTTGGCTCTTCATAACATACGTTTTCTTTAATGATACAAGTCACAGGAAAAAGTTCTATGCATTCTTTCAAAGGGAAGATTCAAGAAGCTTCTTTCAAAGGGAAGATTCAAGAAGCTTGCTCTAAAAGTTGAAGTTAATGTATAAACCAACTCTAAGCACTTCATAGATACTATCTTTCAGTCCTCCTTACACTCCCGAGAGGCAATATTATCCCCATTTTATACACAGGGAAACTGAGGCACGGAGGGATTAAGCAACCAAAGTTGTTCTTGATTTTTTAACTCTGGTGACAGCGTGTTCGTGAGCATCCTGTTCTTTCAGAAGAGAAAATAGAGCTCAAAGCCTGCGATAAAGCAGACCACTTGAAAGTGGCCTCGGAAAGCAAGGGCAGGAGACAGGAGGAGTATTCCAGGGGACAGGGAGCTAAGTCGATGAGTATTTGTTGTGAAAGGAGGGACCCTACTGACTTCTGGAAGTGGTTTGTTTTTCTTGTTCCTTGGGTGGTTTTGTAGAGGCACGCCTTGCTATGTTGACCAGGCTAGGCTCAAACTCCTGGCCTCAAGTGAACCTCCTACCCTGGCCTCCCCAAGTGCCGGGATTGCGGCATGAGTCACCGCACCTGCAGTTTAGTTCCATGCAGTTTAGACAAAAAGATGTGGTCATGGTCTCAGCCTTAGCTCCCATCTTCACCCGATGTCCTGTTGCAAACACATCATGCACCCTCTGCAGTCTGTGCTGGAACACAGCCCGAGCTTCTGGGAAATTCTGCCACAAAGTACCATCTAGTGATGGTGGTCCCTGCACCCAGCCCTGCCTGACTAGACCCTCTGCATGTGTGCCTCTGCACGTCCAGGCCCCTTGGAGGTAACCAGTGGATTAGGTGGGATTTGAAGAGGAGACCAAACATCTCCGAAGAGGCATGACAGCATTATTCAGCGCAATGGTAAAGCTGGTGAAGTGTTTTTGGCTTCCACCTCTCCTTCACTGCCCCTCTGCCTTTCTAGTACCTTCTACCCTGTTCTCTTGCACTGTGATCCAAACAGTTTCCTTTGACAGAAACCTGGTTGTAGTCCTTCAGATTTCACTGCGACTTTAAGACATATTGCCACCCTCACTGCTATTCATACTTTAAAGCTGAGCTTCACTGGTGGAATATGATTATGAAATTTCTTTGTTCCCCACGGGAGTGAACCGAAGTGTTCTAGGTGCTTCTGCAATCAAAGCACATGAACAACTTTTCTGCAGCCTACATTTCAGTTTGGTCTGCTCCCACAGATGGACACCGAACATGGCTACTTTGACGTGTAAATACACCATGCAACCCTTGATTTTACAGGAAACACCTAGAATTAACAACTTGGATGCCTTATGTGGCACAGCTGTTGTGCTTTGGGGAGCCGTGATTACTAGTAAGTCTTTCAGAAAGAAACACCTTCAAACTGGAGAAGAGCTGCCTTCAGTTAACGCCTGACTTCTCTGTAATTTTGCATTGCTGGGTTATAATCATAAAGTAGCAAACATTTTCGGGTATGGCATCAACACATCACTCCGTCAAAACATCCACAATGAGGACACAAACTGTCAAAGAAAGTTGTCAGCAGGATTTATTGAAATATTTTAGTACAATGTTGGAGGATCTTAAAATCCTATACCTAAATCAGTACAAGCGCTGCAAATAGTACATTCCTGGATCTAGTTGACATCATATTTAACGAAGAAAAGTTGTCATCTATTAGTAGACTAATATAAGTTGGAGGCTAAACAACTTTGGTATATTCTTCTCTCTGGCTTCCCTTTCTAGCTAGATACATGCCAAGCCCAGCCCCCTTCAGTAGACTTCAGCAGGACCGATATATTTGGAAGCCTCAGGTTTCCACATTGGAGCAGCAAGGAACCAGAGAGGTGTGGAACTCCACTGCTCCCAAGGCGGAGTTCATCAGCTTTGTTGAATGGAATCTCCACGTTGTATGGCTGAGTCCAGTGTAATTAGTTCATAAAAGTATTCAGGGCTCGGCGCCTATAGCTCAACCGGCTAAGGCGCCAGCCATGTACACCTAAGGTGGCGGGTTCGAATCCCCAGCCCGGACCCGCCAAACAATGACGGCTGCAACCAAAAAATAGCCAGGCGTTGTGGCGGGCGCCTGTGGTCCCAGCTACTTGGGAGGCGGAGGCAGGAGACTCGCTTGAGCCCAGGAGTTGGAGGTTGCTGTGAGCTGTAATGCCACGGCACTCTACCCAGGGGGACAGCTTGAGGCTCTGTCCCAAAAAAAAAAAAAAAAAAAAAAAAGTATTCAGAAGTATTTTAAAATATAAAAGTAGACCTAAAGACTGACAGAAACCATCAGTTCTTAATTCAGAGGATGCCAATGCAAAGTTCTGTATCTTGTTTTTGTATCTGAAAATCATTATTATAAAACTAGCTCTATACATTCCTGGCCATTAAACATCTTAGATAAAAATCATTACCTTTTACTCAATCAACTGGCTTTAGTCCCGTCCACATGTTTACACTTGCACACTTCTATGCCAAGCTGTCCACTTATGCAACTTTACAAGCACACTTTTATTGCATATACGCATAGAAATCCCGAGAAACACAGACGTCATACAATTATCAAACATAAAAGTTACATGACATCAAAATACACTCTTTACACATCTCAAGTCAACTCTTTCTAGATATAGTCAATCTGTATTGCACCGCTGACTTTACTAAGCTACACTGTCATTCTTTCTCAGAAGCCACTTTAAGGTACAGCAAAATGTTAGTTTCTGCAACAACCAAAACAACATTTTCTAACTTCAACCTCTGCCAGAGTGAAGTTTAAAACCCGAATAACGGCTGTTTAAGTTTGTTAATGACCTACATAGATTCCATTTTTCCCCCTATAGCATTTAGATCAGAGAAATGATTCTCTACCACTTTTAAGATTCAGTAGAAGGGAGAGATTGTTGATTATTCCCAGGCTTTGCCTATGAAGGCAAATCCTCTTCTTCCAGGGCTGATGAATTAAGCTTATTGTCCACCAATGTGCATATAATAAAATCCACAAAGAGCCGATCCTTGATTTCTGCCACAGAGGAAGGATGCTGTAAGGGTCACCTTATGGAGAATGCAATCTTTAGTGAGTCTGCCCTCCATAGACCCTTCTGAGCCACTTTTTAAACATTATCCTACTGGAAAAACTAATGTTTAAATGTACTCCTTTGTCTTTTTTTCAGGGAAAACCCCTATTTTTCATGGAACAGCTTTAGTGCAAGTAATCAGTTGCCAGAGACCTGCTACTTTCGATTAGAAAGGGGAACACTGGATCAAAACTCACAAAATCATGTTTAAGAATGGACTCATGAGAGTCTCCTTTTATTTATGCCAAAAGCAAGATAAAGATTAGAATAGGAAATCTGAGGGGATATAAGGGAGTCTTATTTCAGTGGATATCTAGGACTGAAATGACTGGGAAAAATGTAAAGTAAAAGCTATAGCTAAAAACACGATGTAAAAGAACACAGTAGGAGATGAGGCCCATTCTAAAGAATGGTCCACTGGGATGGACAGCAGGGAGCATTAACGTGACAAGGAGCTCAGAGACTAGATCCCCCCAGATTTCCGAATGACAGCAATTGCTGAACATAAATTTTGGAATTTCAGGTCATGACATTTTGGGTAAGTGACAGTTATAACATGTTGCAGAGTGGTAATTAAAAAAAATGATATAGAATTGCATTGCCTCTGCTATACAGAAAATAAATGTATCTGTGGCCATAGTAAGCTAAATAAAATTTGGTCCAAATTAAGCACAATAACCAAGATGGCTGCCAAAAAGAAAAATTCAAAATTCACGGTATTTAAATTTTCTATCGTTTACTCCAAAGTAAAGGGCTAATTCTATACAGGGTTTTACCCAAATGTCCATAGGCATCATCATTATATTTAATATATTTACACAGAAGGCTTTCATCTGAAGTCACCTTTGGTAACCTCGAAGTAGCAATGAAATTATATGTTTGAAAGCTGTTGCCGCAAAGTACTGGGAGAACAAAGGAAAAGATCACTTGTTAGAACAAGTGAAGATGACAAAAACTTTTTTTCTTTTTTTTTGGCCAGGGCTGGGTTTGAACCTACCACCTCCAGCATATGGGGCTGGCGCCCTACTCCTTGAGCCATTTTTTATTTAAGATAGTTCACTTAAAGACCAAATAACTACCACCTTCCCCAAAACACTGGAAAGAAATGATCTTGAGCTTTAAAAGAGGGAACAATGAATCTGAGAGTATACGAAGACCTGATGCTTTTGCCAGTGATTATCCTGTCATTGCTGAGCCCTAAAGCTAAAAAATCAGACAAACAAAAACAAATCAGAAGTCAGCGTGGGCTTGCTGGACACTTCCCATTCTGGATTTATAGTGGGACATGGCTGAACAGGTAGGACACAGATTCCCCATTGTGCGTCCTTCGGATCGCCTCTGCCAAGATCATGGAAATGTCAATGACCTAAAAGCCAACAAAAAAAAACAGAAGGGAGGAAAAAAGTAAGATATTTAGAGTTCTTTAAAAACTGAAAAGTTGGCTTGACGCCTATAGCTCAGCAGCTAGGGCGCCAGCCACATACACCGGAGCTGACAGATTTGCATCCAGCCCGGGCCTGCCAAACAATGACAACTACAACCAAAAAATAGCTGGGTGTTATGACAGGCACCTATAGTCCCAGCTACTTGGGAGGCTGAGCCAAGAGAATTGCTTAAGCTTACAAGTTTGAGGTTGCTGTGAGCTGTGACGCCACAGCACTCTACCCAGGGCGACAGCTTCAGATGCTGTCTCTAAAAACAAACAAAAAAATCCCCGAAAAATCAGAAAGCTGAGAAGCAATTTCTCCAGCACACAAGATGTATTACTATCAAAACCTCTCAAGCCCCTTTCTTTTGAGGCCAGACAGCCTTGGGGTGTGTCTTCAAATTACAACCTGTTAAACCAAAGCCATAGGAGATCCAGGAAAGGAAATTTTCAGTGCACAGACTCAAAGGCTTTTTTAGAGTATTAACCACAAACAGTTTTTTCCTAGGGACATCTATTGTTTTATAATTAATTTTACTCAATCATTATATGTAAAGTTTTTCTGTTTCTGAAAAAATGGTGACTGTGTCATTTGAGAGCACAACTGTGATCACCTAACTCAGGGATCAGCAAACTACTTTTGTATAAAGAACAGATAGTTAATATAATACAGTCTCTATAAGTTGATCACTCAAGGGTCTGTACCAAAGAGGTCAACATATAGAGGTGGTCACCTAAGGAACTAGGCCTACTATACTGTATGTACATATGGTACATGTCCAATCTATGAAAATTAGGTCAAGTTAAGGAGGTGGTTAACTATGGAGGGTCTACTGGAGTTTTGGCTTCCTCGGCCAGATAGTCTCTATCACAGATTCTCAACTCTGCTACTGTAGCGTAAAAGTAGTCACAGGCCACACATAAATGAATAGGCATGGCTATGCTCCAATAAAACTATAGTCACAAAACCAGATGATGGGCTGGATTTGGTCTGTGAGCTGTAATGTACCAACTCCCAACTTAAGCTACTGCTACTCAGGCATGAGAATATAACTTTCAGCTCTCTGGTGACCTGTGGACATCCAATCAAAAGGAACAGGAAGGAACACTACTTCCCCATTCTCCCCTTTTCTTACTGTGCTAAAATAGACAATATAAAATTTGCCATTTTAACCATTTTTAAGCATATAACTCAGTGACATCAATTACATCCCCAATGTTATGTAATAATCACTATCATCTATTTCCAAAACTTTATCATCCCAAGCAAAAACTGTACCCATTAAATAACTCCCCATCCCCCTACCTCCAAGTCCCTAGTCACTGCCATTCTACTTCACCTGTATGACTTTTCCTATCCTAGTACCTCCTGTAAGTGGAAGCACAATATTCCTTTTTTTGTGTCTGGCTTTTTTCTACTTAGCATAATGTTTTCAACATTCATCCATGCTATAGCATGTGACAGAATTTCCTTCCTTTAAAAGGCTGAGTGAATATATTCCATGGTGGCAACAGACCACACTTTAGTTATCTATCCATTTGTCGATGGACAGTTGGGTGTGTTTACTCTTTGGCTATCTGAAGAGTGCTATTGTGAATATTCATGTCTAAGTTTTTTTGTTTTTGGTTGCCCTAGGCAAGAGTGCCTTGGCCTCAGCCTAGCTCACAGCAACCTCAAACTCCTGGGGTCAAGAGATCCTCTTGTCCCAGCCTCCTGAGTTGCTGGGACTACAGGTGCTTGCCATAATGCCTGGCTAATGTTTCTATTTTTAGTAGAAATGGGGTCTTGCTCTTGCTCAGGCTGGTCTCGAACTCCTGAGCTCAAGGGATCCTCTTGCTTTAGCCTCCCATAGTACTAGGATTATAGGCTGAGCCACCTTACCCGGCCCATGTACAACTTTTTGTTTGAATGTGTTTCCAGATTTGGAGAGTATATACCTAGGGGTGGAATTGTTGAGTCACATGGTAATTCCATCTTTAGCTTTAGTGTAGCCTGTTTCTGACTGTTTTTCTATTGTGATTTTATCCACTAGCTATTTCTAAGTAGGGATCACTGACCTCTGCTGGCCCTGGCCATTCTCAGACATCCAATGTGATTTATATACTGTTGTCATGAGAAGCTGAAACCTTTGCCAGCATCTGCCTTAGCAAGAAGCCACACACACAGAAGACTCTAAGCTACCCTTAGGGATGTCAAGTAGGTGACTCACTGCCTTGTTCTCCCTGCAGCACAGACAGTACCTGAATCTTGGCGCAGTGTTTCATTTTGTCCTCTTGTGGAATTGTGTTTGTGACAACAACAGCCTCAAAAGCAGCATTATTTATTCTAGAAATAGCTGGCCCAGAGAAGATCCCATGAGTAAGGATAGCATAAACTTTGGTGGCTCCAGCTGAGAGTAGCCTATAAAATAGCAGAAGATATAAAATTATAAGTGCCATGAATTCTTGAAATACTCTCCTCTAGTATGCATGGTAAAGGCAAAAGCGTGTTCCCTAAAGGAGAAGGCAAAACTGCGCTCACATATGTTAGCCTAGAATAGGATCTTTAAGATCTATGTTAGCAAAACACTTTGTATCCCATTAAATAAGGGATTTTCAATCTTGGCATTTGAGCCCAGATAATTCTTTGCCATGTGGGCTTTCTTGTTCATTCATTCATTGAATAGTATAATTCAGCAGCATCCCTGGCCCCATAGAAACCCCCATTCCCTCAATCATGACAACTAAAAATGTCTCTAGATGGTACCCAATGTCTCTCTGGGAGTAAAATTGTCCCTGGTGGAGAACCACTGGTTTAAACCAATATAGGCAAATAACATCATTGTGGCACATAACCAATATAAAACTTTATTAATAAGATGTTTTATACTCTTTGTTTCATACTGAGTTTTGGAAACCTAGTGTGCATTTTACATTGGCCACGTTCCAAGATTTCCACAGCCATGCACAGTGGGGTGGCTCCCATAAAGGACAGTGCAACTCCATATCCTCCAGAAACCCATGTGGCCAAGAAACTTGGCATGAGGGCCAAGCAGAAGGAAGCAAGGGCCCAAAGAAGCTCCAAACCCCTTTCCTTCCGTGCTCAGTGTCAAGGAATGCAGCTCCTCTGACCCTTTCTGAAATACTCTGTAAGCGGAACTTGGAAAATTAAAAGCCCATGATTTCCTTTCTACCCAGACATGAATGGTAAAGATAAATAAATGGCTTAGAATCTCCTTCAGTCTAAATTCCACTGCCAAGCAACCAGTGATAATTAGGAAAGACAGGTCCAACTTCTAAAAGTGGGCACATTTCCCTGTCCAAGCAAAGGGTCCCGGCACTTTCCCCACATACTTGTCTGCAGCGTGGCAGATGGTACCACACGTGTCAGCCATGTCGTCCACGAGGATGGCCACACGGCCCTTCACATCGCCCACCAAAACCATCCGATCCACTTCATTCGCCTTCTTCCTCTCTTTGTGGATCAAAGCGAATTCCACGTTCAACCTGTCTGCAATTGACGTGACCCTGGCAAAGACGCAAATGAACATATTCATACGGTCAGTGAAAACAATCTTTTAAATCAATTCTTTAAAATTATATTTCAGGGATGTAGCAAGCAACCATACTCAAGACATTGAAAAAGTCAGGTCTTACTTGCTCAGCCGCACATGGTCTGGGGCAGGCAGTAAGCGACCCCGAGGGAGAAATATGCTAGTTAAGGGCCTTGCATTTGTGGTTGCTGGAAATGAATGTCAGCACGGCCTGGCTAAATTATTGGATAAGAAATTGACATTTAATTTGTTAGTATTTGTGGGTACTTTTTAAAATCACAGGCACCACTTAAAGCATGGTAGTTATAAACTACCACTTGCTTGGTTTGTAGAAAATACAAGGGACAAAAGTCTTGGTTAAACCCCCCATGCAATCTGTAGGCTTGTGAGAATGAGCTTCATTAGACTGGAGGCCTCAGGAGACTCTGGAAGCCTTGAACAGCTCCTCTGCCCAACTAAGGCGAATGCTCAAAAGTCACTGATACAGACGCAGTGGTACACATCAGTCGTTCCAGCTACTCAAGAGGTTGAGGCTGGAGGAGCACTTGAGCCCAGGAGTTTGAATCCAGCCTAAGCAACAAAACTCATTGGCTCAGGAGGGGCTGAGCTGGCAACAGGAAGCGGAGGTGGGCAGGCGGGACTTGTTAGTGAGCTCTAGAAATCTTGGATTGTCTGGTGAAGAATGCATTAATTGATTGACTGATTGAGACAGAGTTTCTCTTTGTCACCCTTGGTAGACTGCTATGGCATCATAGCTCACAACGACCTCAAACGATCCTCCTGCCTTAGCCTTCCAAGTAGCTGGGAGGACTTACCAGTCCCCACCACAAGCCCCGCTAGTTTTTCTGTTTAGTAGAGATGGGATCTGGCTCTTGCTCAGGCTAGTTTCTAACTCCTGAGCTCAAGCGATCCACCTGCCTCAGCCTCCTAGAATACTAGGGTTATAGGCATGAACCATCAAGCTCAGCAAAAGAGTAGATTTAAATGGTGAAAATTATTTAAACAATAATGCTGTAGATAGAATGTGACATTAAGATTTTCCTATTCCTGGACAGGCACAGTGAGTCATGTCTGTAATCCTAGTACTTTGGGAGGATTTCTTGAAGCTAGGAGTTCAAGACCAACATGGGCAACTTAGATCTTGCCTCTATAAAAAATACAAAAATTAGCTGAGTGTGGTAGAGTGTACCTGTAGTCCCAGCTACTCCGGAGGCCAAGGAAGGATTGATCACTTGAGCCCAGCAGTTCACAGCTGCTGTGAGCTATGATCACACCCTGTACTTTAGTCTGAGGTGAGAGTAAGACCTTGTCTCTACCCAAAAAAAGCTGAGTATGGTGACATGTGAATGTAGTCCTAGCTACTTGGGAGGCTGAGCCAAGAGGATCACTTGGGTCTGAGGATTGGAGGAGGCCATGAACTAGACCACAACACTGTACTCCTGTCTGGGCAACAGAGCAAGACCCTGCCTCACCCCTCTATCCTCCCCTAACAAAAGGTTTTCCTATTTCAGTTTTCAAAATAACAATCATCATTATGCAATTTAGATGAAAAAGCATTTGAGGAACTGATATATACACAGCCTATTTAAGATGCAATGCATGGAATATACAACCTCTATACATTATTTTTTAAAGTACTGGTCCTATGTGCTGTGTCATCCCCATATGGTGACCAGGAGTGGAGCTTCCTGTGTGTTCTAATCAAGGACAGAGCGGGCAAATGTCTGGGAGGAATCTACTCCTCCCAGAAGGGAAGGGGACTAGGTGCTCTAGGCTATCTTTCCCTATTTCTGAAGACTTCCAACGTAGCCTATGTATTTTTTTTCAACTGTGGGAAAATATATATGAAATAAAATTTATCTTCTGAACCACTTTGAAGTGTACAGATAAATGACATTAAGTACACGCACAATGATGTACAACTATTACTTGTATCTAGTTCCAGAACATTTCATTATACCAAAAGGAAACCCCCTACACCCACTAAACAGTCCCTCCCCCGTCTCCCCTCTCTCCATGCCCTGCCAAGCACTGATCTACTTTTTGTCTCTATGCATTTGCCTTTTTTGGACTTTTCACATCAATGGAATCATACAATAAGTGACCCTTTTTGTCTGGCTTCTTGCACTTAGCCTAAAGTTTTTAAGGTTCCTCCATGTTGCCGCATGTATCCGTACTTCATTCTTTTCAAGGCTGAGTAACATCCTGTTGATGGACACATAGGTTGTTTCTACCTTTTGGTTATGGTGAACAGTGCTGCTGTCAACACTGGCACGCAAATATCTGTTTGAGTTGCTGTCTTGAAGACTTTTTTTTTTTTTTTTGAGACAGAGCTTCAAGCTATCCCCGTGGGTAGAGTGCCATGGCTTCACAGCTCACAGCAACCTCCAACTCCTGGGCTCAAGCGAGTCTCCTGCCTCCGCCTCCCAAGTAGCTGGGACCACAGGCGCCCACCACAACGCCTGGCTATTTTTTGGTTGCAGCCGTCCTTGTTGTTTGGCGGGTCGGGGCTGGATTCAAACCCGTCACCTTAGGTGTATGTGGCTGGCGCCTTAGCCACTTGAGCCACAGGCGCCGAGCCCTGTCTTGAAGACTTTTGGGCATGCTCCTCAGAGTGGAATTCCTGGGTCGTACAGTAACTCTGTGTGTAACTTATTCAGCTAATATTTTAACAGCTTCAGCTACCCTCTTTTGAAGTCTCAATGTTCTTTTTCTCCATTAGAATTAGCAAAGACATTTGCTATCTCAAGTAAGAGACATATGTGAAAATGTGACCTAAGGGAAAGCCAACTTTATTGCAAACAGACAGAGCTCTGCTTCCAGATGATATTTCTTTGAGTTCTTTGGTGCTCTGGCAGACTAGGCAGCCTCATCATCCTTCACCGGAGACAAACTACATTGCTAGATTACACTATGAGGGAGCTGTCTCTACAAACATATCACCAAGGTGGAATGACAGCAGGAATCGTCAGAGGCAGAGGATGTAGAATAGGGTTGTCCTGAGAAGCTGATATGCAACAGAGTGCTTGCTCTGTGGGTTTCTGAGGAGCCCTGAATGAGTTCAAGCTTCTATTTTGCTGGTAGAGACATGGGGGATGAAAAAGCAAGCCTAGGGCCCAGCTGACACAGGGAAAGCAAAGGTTCTTCCTTCAGAGCAACAAGGAATGAAATAAACCTGCTGCCCACATGGGAGCAGGATGGCTGCTTACCTGTCTCAAACTCGATGCTGAGTGGAAGGGGTTAGTTCTCTCTCGAGAGTTCAAAACCACATCTTGGCTCTCCTGAGGGTTGTTCGTCCAAATTCCTATTACGTGTGTGATGAAAACCCTCAAGTGGAGAGTTTAATTTATAAGGGATACTTTGGATTAGCACTCCAACGTAGCTGGCAATGACAAATGCAAATCCTCTTGGAAAGATTATAATGATCAAATTCTAATGAAGTTGAGGATTTCACAGAAGACAGTCACAAGGCTCCAAGGCACCAGAAGTGACAGCCACCAGAAACAATGTAACCAAATCATAATGGCAAAGACATGCTGGAATGAGCTAAAAAGGAGCCTAAAGTGATTGAAAATGCCTGAAAAGAGAATAGTACATTTAGAAGACAGAGATCAAGACACTGTCCAGGATCCAGCCCAGGAAACAGAAGAGAAAGGCACTAATCCTCCGATTTAGTAAGCCCCACAAATGAATCCCCAAGCAATAGAAATAAACTGTAGAAGACCAAGAAGTCTTAAGAGAGGCAAAGGACAAAGACACTAAGACGTATTTCCTAGAAAGGAATAGCGATCAGACTGATGGCCAACTCCTCCAGCAGAAGCCAAAAGGTAGTAGAATAATATCAACAATGTGATATGAGAAAATAAATGCCAGGAGGGCAAAATAAAGATATTTTCAGCCAAAGTATACAACCAGAGATTTAATTTCTAACATACAACTTAAGGAAAGGAAAATGCAACTTAAATAAAAGGAAAATGATAGCAGATATATTGAGATATGGGAGGAGGAGAAGGTGAACGATGATATTGGCTAATATGTGGAAAAATCTGAAAAACCTGTTGATTGTATAAAACCATAATACTAATGATAATGTCTGGTTTGTGGAGGAAAAAAAGTATACTTGGCCATGGTTTTAAAGCACACAATAATAAATCCAAATATGTCATTAATCAGGATAACAGGAAAGGGAGTAAACTTAAAGACAGGGAAGAAAACAAGACACCGATTTCAGATGTCCAAATGTCCTTGGAAGCAAAGAGAAGCGTTACTCTGATGACAGCCATGTTTCTCCTACTCTTAAATAAAAAAAAATCATCCTTTAGGTGGAATAAAAACCACGGTCGCCCTAGTAGATACCCTTCATTTCCAAAGCTGTCTAGCTATCAACTTTCCTTATGTAAGGATTTAATTGGGAAAAAATTAATTTGAAGGCTGATCAAAGTTTGCCCCATAATCATCTTAAAACATATACAGTACTACTATTTACATGCCAATTTCATAAAAAGATAAGCTATTTAAACGCCAAGTAAAGAAAGCTAATTTCACAAATGGTACTGACATATCACACTGAAATCTTAGGCAGAAAAAGCTAGAACAAAATGAGATATATATGTATGGATATACACAGTTTGGTTTTTTCTTTCTTTTTTTTTCCTTAATCAGGCCCAGGTGAGGTTCAAACTCACCACCCCTGGTCTGCAGGGCCAGCGCCCTAACCACTGAGCTACAGTGCCCAGATCATAAAGTTTGATTTTAATTTCTTATAGCACATTAGATTCTTTTTTCTTTTTCTTTTTTGAGACAGAATTTCAAGCTGTTGCCCTGGGTAGAGTGCTCACAGCACTGTAGAGTGGCATCACAGCTCACAGCGACCTCAAACTCTTGGGCTTAAGCAATTTTCTTGCCTCAGCCTCCCAAGTAGCTGGGACTACGGGTGCCCGCCACTATGCCTGGCTATTTTTTTTGTTGTGGTTGCCATTGTTGTTTTAGCTGGTCCAACTGGGTTTGAACCCACCAGCCTTGGTGTATGTGGCTGGCGCCCTACCCCGTGAGCTATGGGCACCACTGAGATTCATTTTTCTTTGTGCGTGCTGTGCGTGTAGGTACTCTCTTAGAAGGGACAGATACGCAATATACCAATTATTCATAGTGGTATCGCTGAGAGAGAGAAAAAATAGTTAAAATTTTCTTCTTCCTGACTTGGCCCCCATAGCACAGTGGTTACAGCACTGGCCATATACATTCAGGCTGGCGGGTTCGAACCTGGCCTGGGTCAGCTGAGTAACAATGACAACTGCAACAACAACAACAACAACAACAACAAATAGCCAGGCATTGTGGTGGGTGCCTGTAGTCCCAGCTACTGGGGAGGCTGAGGCAAGAGAATTGCTAAAGCCCAAGAGTTTGAGGTTGCTGTGAACTGTGACGCCACAGCACTCTACTGAGGTTGACATAGTGAGACGCTGTCTCAAAAAATTTTTTTTTTCTTCTAACTTTCCAAATTTTCTATAGAGCATTTCCATAGATCATACAATCGGGAAAAAAAGATAAGTCTGAATTATGCAGTCTCAGCCGCTGCCCATTCTACTTTTAGGTTGGTATTTGCTATCCCAGTAGTGGTAGGTATGTTTCCCTCTCGACTTCGTTTTTAATTAGCAGTCAACTCAATCAAGCTTCAAAGACAACCCAAGAGTGACCTCCTGTGGTGATATTAAGTTTTACCTGGAATGACTGAGGCCTTGAAACTTTTTTTTTAAAGCAAGAAGCTCTAATTTGTCAAGAGGTATTTATAGTGTTTTCTTTGACAAAATACGACTCTTCACACCAAGCAAAGAAGCTGCAGATGACACCGTCAAGTGCACGTACTGTGTATTATTACCTGCAGGCTGTTCTGAGATGGATTGTCAGTTGGGGAACACCCCACCCTAGAATGCCAGGATAATGATACAGAGCAGAAATGCTGGGAAAAACTCAAGGTGGCAAAAATTCCACAATGTACACTTGCCCCCCCCCCCAAAAGCTTGACTTTCCTGGTAGAGGAAGAAGTGGGCTGAGTGAGGCCTACTTTGCAGGGGGTCTGAACAAACCATCTCCGGCCTGGCCATTCACTCTGGTTAGTCTATTCTGCATTTTTTAAAAGTGGGAGCCGGCAAACAGCTGTCTATTTGGAACTGGGAACTCAGTATATAATCAGAGATGTCATTTCAAATCAATAGGAAAGAAGTCAATTATGTGAGAAATAGTTCTGGAACAACACGACGGGGGGAGGGGAGTGGATTCTTATTTCAGTCTTTACTACAAAGTAAATTTCAGATAGAAGAAAAATTAGAACACCGAGAAAGAAAAAGGCAACCATAAAAAGCACGGGAGAAGCATTTTAAGAGAAGGTTGAATCCTTCATAAGCCCAGAAGCCATAATGTGAAAAGACAAGTAGGACTATGTAAGAAGGTTTTAAAAGTTCTGCAGAGAATAAAAATATAAAAAAAGGAAAGGAAGGAAACACCTGGAGAAATACTTGCAACATACCCAAGAAACAAAGCTGTGCTCTCGGGACTACGCAGAACTCTTGACAACGCAGAGGAAAGGCCTGCAGCCCACAGAACAACAGGCGAAAAGGATGAACGGACCTCTTTCAGGCAATCAGCGCTCCAAAAGGGCACTGCAGCCGCCTGAAGTCACAGGGAGCGATCCCCGCAGATCACTCACCTGGTTTATAAAGTCAAACTGCCTGACAACCCACTGGGTGAGTGAGACTGTGGACAAAGTCACTGGCATCTGGACCTGATGGAACATCAACTGGGATATCGTTTTGGAAAAACCACATTTTGTCACTGCCCATCAAAACTAAAATGGCTTGTGCTCTTTTAGTTGGCAATGCTACTTCTGGGAACGGATCCTACCTGCATGTGTATACAAGAGGTCAAAGCAAGTATGCTGCTGGAGAGCTGTGTTTAGTAGTGCAAACCACAATATGCACGGTGGGTACCAGCACTGTTATTAACAGGAATTACAATACATGCACACAAGAGGACATCACTGAACATTTATAAAAAAAAAAAACCATAAAGCAACTCCATTGCACAGCCAGGGAATCATTGTTGACACAGACCAAATAAGTTTTTTTTTTCCTTTTTAACCTACTAAATCCCTCAAGTAACTAAGTTTTTGATAAAGGATGGACAGCACATTACCATTTGTGCAAAATAAAAATGGGGATGTGTGTTAAATAACATAATTCTGATACTGGAAAGAACAGTGGTGTCTAAAGAAGCAAATTGGGGACAGTTCCCTTTTGTGCTGCTTGAATTTCTGCTAAGGGCATGTATGGTATTTTTAGACCATGTATATAAAAGTGGGTTTGGTCTAGGAAAACACCTTACAAGTTGGTGGAGTCTATTATTTGGGGGCTGATTAGCTGCCAAAGTAACATTTTCTAGTTAAGAAAGGAAACATGCCAGACACGAAGGCCACGTATGATGGATTGATAGAGAGTCTCAAAAAGGCAGTTCTGTAGGGACAGAAGGTAGATTTGTGGCTGCCTGGGGACGGGGCAGGGGAAGTAATGAGGAGTGACTGCTCATGGGTACAGGGTTTCTTTTGGGGGTGATGAAAATGTTCTGGAATTAAATACTGGTGATGGTTGCACAAACCTGTGAATATAGTAGAACCTCTCTGTAAGTTGACCACCAAAGGGACTGTGCCAAACGGCTCAACCTATACAGGTGGCCAACATGCGACCTACTGCACTGATACATACACGTGGTGCATGTCAGGTCTATGAAAATTATGTCAACTTAAGGAGGTGGTCAGTGTAGGGAGGCAGTCAACTGTGGAGGTTCTACTGTATATAAACCACCACTGAGCTCAGTGATTTAAATGGGTGAATTTTAGGGATCTGCATTACAGCTCAACAAAGCTATCACTACAAACTTCTTACCCCTTGGCCCACCTCTAACCTTCCACTGGGCCACTGCACTTGCCATATTTGAATGTAGATTCCACCATATGACGTACGGAAGTTCCCAAATAAAATGTAGGCATTACTAATAGAAATGACTCCAAAATGTTGCTCACATTTTTAAGCAGACAACACTCAGTGTGATGAAATCACAATGCCCCGGCCAAGGGCACTCTTGTCACCACCACGCACTTTAGGGTAAGTACTGGGCTATGTGACACAGCGATGCTCTCCACCCCATCGCTACCCATCTGGAGTCCTTACAACTTTCCTGCTCCTGTCTTTTATTCATTTGCGTCTCCCTATAGTCCACGGCCCTGTCCTACTGTTACCAGAGGCCCACCTCCAGCTGTATGGCCCGTTCTTCCCCGTCCTCTATCCCAAGCAGCCACTGGATGGCAGCTTAGAGCAGAATGGCTAGGACCCTTCAGAGAATTGGGACCCGCACTTCCCCGAATGGGCATTTGGACCACTTTCTGGGCTACTCCTAAGCTTCCATGTTTGATTCAGGTTGTTGGCTGGGCTTTAGGCAGATGAGGGCTAAATGAGGGAAAGCTTTTGATTTTCAAGTCATCCTAAAGCCTGATGGACGCTTGTCACACTCATCACATGTGCATTCGTGCACATTTTTGAGCTCCTTTCCTTTCTTGCTGGGCTAGAGTGTAGAGGCCTCTCCTACTTCTCCCTTCCATGGCAATAAAACTCTAGTCCCCCTCTGTTCCTTCCCAGATACCATCTGCAAAGCTCTACAAGGTCAGTGAGGCAGTAAGCCTCAGCTTGCAGCAAACACCGAGGATCAGATCAGTATCCTCTTACTGGTGTCAGCCCTGCTCCTGAACGCCACATGCCCTGACTGCTCGTCCAGGCCTGGACCTATTTCCCAGGAGTGTTAGACAGGCTGCCCAGCACGTCTGCCCTGAGTGTGCCACCACCACTGTGCTGTTACTACCAGGTCGGTTCTAATCTTTTTCGCCCTAGTTTCCTTTTAAACTTGCTGATTTCCTAGTCTAGCACTAGGTATTATTATCTATTATCCCACGGTATTGGCGGCCGCCCTGCTGTATGTACACGCTGGTTCTGGGTGGACCGTGCCCTCTTGGTTTTCTACTGTTGGTCATCAGATACCAGGTCATGCTCTGCAGGGGCTCTGCAGCCTGGGGCCAGTTTTCATGTTAATTTTCTAGCCAAGGGACCACTACCTCAGAGGGAGAATGCATCTGTTCCGCTGCTGGCTGGAGGCCTGCCTTTCAGCTCCCTTCATGAGGTCCCCCACGTGGGCATTACACCCCAAGCCAGCAGACTCTTCTGCTGGGCCACCAGGGGACGGCCTTCAGCCCCTTCTTCATTGCTTGGCCTCAGATCTCTCCATTTCCTGGTATTCTAAGCACAGAGATTTCCTTTTTAAAAATCTTATTCTATTTTGGCTACCATTTCCAAGTGTTTGTAGTAGGAAGGCCTAGCTCAGTCAACCATGCTGTTAATTAAAAGGCCTGTACAGTTTGGCTCATTGCTTTTATAACCGGAAAACATTAACTTAAAAAAAGCCCGTAAAATATGTCTATTCTTTGCTAAAAATAAAAAATTATATACATATGGTGTGTATCTTTTTTTCTTTCTTGAAGGATTAAATGTTAACAAGGATGACAAGTTTCTACTCTGGAAGGGAGGCCTCTAACTCTTCTTACTTGCTCGTTAGCAAAATCAAAGTGGTAAGTCCTTGAAAGCACGCTTCCTTATCTAATGCCCAGGGAAAAGAAAAACCAAGCGGCACACAGAGGAATCTGCACAGAGCAGCGGTGTGATACCTTTTGGCTCCGCCAGCATCAGGTGACACGATGATACAGTTCCTCCACTCTGCGATATTTTCCCGAATCCACTGCAGGACGGCTGGCTCTGCGTACAAATTATCCACAGGAATATCGAAGAATCCCTAAGGGACACGTGAGTGTCATGGTACAAGGTTTTATTTTTATTATTTTTTTTCTTTTTAAAATGATACTCACCAGGGTGTATGCTTTAAAAATCAATAATTACCACTGCATTAAAGAACGTTTGAATTTTTGATTCCAAAGAAGCCATTGTAACAGACTCCCTTTTGTTAATTTTAATAGAATTAAATCAAAGACGGATAAGTTGTGGGGGCATATTTCAGTCCAAACCATCTCTTGGGGCATGTTCTATTATCTCATGATGGCCTATATTCTGAGGAATAGGGCAGCGAAGGAAAGGTTTGTTGTTCCTTAAGCACCGATTACAAACCCAGTACAGTAGCACCTCTATACTGGATCACCTCTGGACACGGACCACCTCCTTAAGTTGACCTAATTTTCATAGACCAGACATGCATCACATGTACGTTTCAGTGCAGGAGGCCTAGTTCCTTATGCTGACCAATTCTGTATGTTCACCAGTTTGCTACAGTCTCTCAGGTGGCCAACTCTCAGAGGGTCTACTGTACTTCACGTTCATTACTTATCACAAAGTGGGCCTGGTAGAATTTGGCCTGTTTCAGAGACAAAGGAACTAAGTTATGAAGAGGATGAAAAATGTATATCATGACTCTGCCATTCTAATTCTTTTCCAGAAGTTGAGATAAAATTACATACTGTTTACTACCAAGAAGCCATTCTGACTTCTTCAAGACTGGAAGCCAAGTGGTGGTAGAGACAGGAGGTATTCATTGTTACTTCCAAGTTCAGTAAAGACAAGAAGTCAAGAGGAGCCACGGACAAACTCAAACACAAGTGATGGTACCTTCTTCTAAAATTATTTCACAGAACAGAGTTAAGACTTAACCATCTGCAGACAGAAGAGGCTGACACCTGTATCTGAGACGCATGCAGGTCCATGGTGATGATGTGATCCGCCCCAGCCACCGAGAGCATATTGGCCACAAGTTTTGCAGAAATCGGAGCACGACTCTGAAAAATACAGACACAGAATAGGGAAAGATGGATACTGTTAGATTCCTTCCATGAAGATGTACACGAGCTAGATAAATCACAGGTGGAATCAACGAAGCCTAAGGAAGAGACTTCCTCCCGCCGCAACAACAAAGGTACTTTCATTCCATTTTATTCGGCGAACATTTTGCTGTTTCTATTGCAAAACAATGTACTTGACACTAAGTATACAGAACAATACCAAAGAACCAGACATTTGTATGTGACATCATAATTTGTATAATTAAAATCAGAAGAAATGTGTAGAAATCAAAGGTACTGGCAGAGAGATGATAGCAGAAAAGACATAAAGAGGATGGTTGTGAAAAGTCCCTCTGAGGAAACTGCTTTCAAGGTGAGGCTAGCAAAGGGCGGGAGAAGAGCGTTCTAGAAGGATGGAGGCATGAGATCCCCAAGATTGAGCTCAAAGAAATCTATTAAAGAAGAATTCATACACTGACCTTTGGAAGGTAGTGCAGTCAGAAATTAAACAAAAAGCAGGCTGGGCCAGGTGCAATGGCTCACACCTATTATCCCAGCATTTTGGGAGGTGGACGAGGTGGGAGGGTCACTTAGGCCAGGAGTTCAAGACTAGCCCGGGTGACAGAGCAAGCCCCACCATCTCTACAAAAAAATAGAAAAATTCGGTGGGCAGAGTGGCATGAGCCTGTGGTATCAGCTATTCAGGAGGCTGAGGCAGGAGGATCATTTGAGCCCAGGAGTCTGAGGGTGTAGTGAGTTATGCCTGGGCCACACCTAGGGCAACAGAGACTCTGTCTCAAAAACAAACAAAACCACCAGGTTGAAGAAAAGATACTTTAAGGGGACTGATAATTTAACATGTAGAAGCACTGTCATTTCCTGATACTAGAGCCTTCTAAATATTTCCCAAATTCTCTATAGCTTTAGGTCCCACGTCACATAGTATAGATAATAAAACAGGTCCATATCAAAGAAATCCAAGGGACTACACACCTATGATTACACCTAGGTAGATTTCAGCATTTTGCTATAAATAACAAATAGCCACAAAAAAGGAAATACAAAGGTTAAAAAAAGATTCCATTCAAAATATCAACAAATAGGCTTGGTGCCTGTGGCTCAAGTGGCTAAGGCGCCAGCCACATACACCTGAGCTGGCAGGTTCAAATCCAGCCCGGACCCGCCAAACAACAGTGACGGCTGCAACCAAAAAATAGCCAGGTGTTGTGATGGGCGTCTGTAATCCCAGCTACTTGGGAGGCAGAGGCAGGAGACTTGCTTGAGCCCAGGAGTTGGAGGTTGCTGTGAGCTGTGATGCCATAGCACTCTACCCAGGGGGACAGCTTGAGGCTCTGTCTCAA